GGGTTCAGGGGTTAGGGATTAGGGTTCAGGGCTTAGGGTTGTGGCGAGCCCTCAGGGGTTGGGGTTTGGGGTTTAGGGTAGTTAAATAGTATTTGATCTTGCTGTGCGTTTCTTGTAGTTTCTGTATGTACTCTCATCTCAGTTTCGTGTCTTTACCTTCGTAAAGGCTCTTCTTGCCATGCTTTCCTTGTTGTTTCCTGTATTTGTTCCGGGGCTCTTCTTGCTTACACACGGCTCACAGGTTCTTGTCGAGGACGTGTCTGAATACTGGGCAGCAGCAGCACAGGACATGCCAGCCAGTGTCTGAAATCCCAGCTCCATAATACCGGGGCCTTATAATTAGAATAAGGCCTTGGTGGCTCCTTAGTATATTTTTTGTATAATCGACGCCAAAACCCTTTTCTAAATGGTTAAGGCCCCTATATTACCATTGAAGCTTGAAGCTCGTCTCACCAAGCTGCCTTTCAGCAACAGTTGCAAACCATGTATCCAAGCCAGGGTACCTCAACGAACAGCCAAGAAGTCGGGCACGTTGCAATTGAAGACATGTTGCAAACGAGGAACCTAATTCTACAGCTTCTGAACTTTTTGGTGGCTTCCTGAATGAAAACAACTCACCCTCAACTTCAACCCCAAAGCCTAAAAGCCGAAACCCTAAATCCTCAAAGCCCTTAGTCCCAAGCATTAAATCCTGCGGACGCCCATCAAACCTGTAGCCTTCGCAGACGCTATTAACGCCCCCCCATAAATGGAATTCTGTTTTTCTTAATAATAAGCCCTAAACCCTAAACCCTAAACCCAAAACCCTTAATAACAAGAAAAAAGGCTCTCTGGGACCCTCCTAGTGCCCTGTCACAAAAGACGCAAAGAAGGCCGAGCCTTGAGACCTTCGGCAGGGACGGCTTCCCCAAGGATATCCGGATCCTCTGGGATTTTTTGGGGTGGTACGGCTGATGATATAAATCCTGCAGTACCTATGATAAAGAATATACCATAATTCCCATAGTCTAGAGTCCTTACCCCAAGGGTCCAAGTACCTAACAATCATGCACTCTCCAAAATCCTAACCTACATAGCTACTATCCTAAAACCGTATACCTAATTGTTGGGTCCTTCGGACCCTTAGGGTTTAGGGTTTAGGGTTTAGGGTTTAGGGTTTAGGGCTTAGGGTTAGGTAATGCAGGATTTACGTCATCAACAGCGGTGCTTGCAGTTTTTTGGGTAAAGCCTGAAGAATGGCTCCCCAAACCTGCGCTTCAGCGTAGATTTTTCAGGTTTTAGGGAACCTGGGACCCCAAAAGTAGGTAGAAGAATCGCCTTTTTTAGGCTTCGGGCCATTATTTTACCTACTTTTGGGGAGTCTAGGAATCTAGGTAGTAGGGAAGGATTTTTTAAGACCCCCCGAACCCTATTTTGAGCCGGAGGCCGACTAACTGTCCCATGCCCGCTAATTGCAGATACAGTGCTACTGTTGTTATTACTGCTATTATTCATATTTAAACCGATTATTAGTATTATCATTCTTATTATTGTGATGTCGCTACCGTTACCACCGGCATTTCGGGCCATGTCATCGCTGTGGAGGCAACAATATGACAAAGCTTGCCATTTTTCGAACTCCCCGCTGAGTGTGTCTGTTACCGCTTTCTCAATCTTTACAGCCTGATCAACCTTGATGTCAAAAGCTTCGCCTCTAAGTGAGGAGAGAGTGCTGGCAGCAAAAAGCCCGAGATGTTGCACCACTTCCACGCCGCTATACTGCAATCAACTCTTCAAGGCAGTACCCCACGACATGCGGGGGGTGCGTTTCAGAATGTTGATGTGCTTTTTTGCGGTCCCTGAAACTGAAGAGCAGCACCTACGAAACCTTTTGCAGACAGCCCTGGCGACCCAGAGATTCTAAAGCACCACGTGTGGGGCTGGTCAAAAAATTAGATTTCGGAGTGCGCATTCCGGGCTCATAAACAACTTCAAAGATCCTATACTCAGGGTCTATTATGTATAGTATGTATATTTATATGTTGTACTATATCGTATATCTCATACATTATGTTCTACACTGTTCTTACAATGTATATATATATATATATATCAGAGTCTGCAATCATAGTGTGTCGCTCCCTGAACCCTAAACCTTAAACCCTCGAACAAGAGCGCCTCCTTCACAAGCCTGGCAATGGTTTCCACAGCGGCGTCTGGCGCCACCAAGCTGTGCCCATCGTCCTGCAAGAGGGCGATTGGTGTTCGGGGTTCAAGAGTTCAGGATGTGGGACTTATGATATTAAAGCCTGACCCCTAAACAATGTGTATGTATGTATGTATGTATGTATGTATGTATGTATGCATGCATGCATTCTTGCATGTATGTATGTAGGTATGTATGTATGTATGTATGTATGTATGTATGTATAAAAGAATGTATGTATGTATGCGAGAACATACATATATAAATATATAACATTACATACCGTCATACAATACGGATAATATGTATGTATGGTCTAGGTGGTTCGGTTTAGGCTTTGCAGGCTTCGCATCGATCTGCAAGGCTAGCGCGGTTTCGGGCCGTGGCGAAAAGCTTGAGGCTCGTGTCTGTAACCCTAAACCCGAAGATTAAATAGTAACAATAACAATAATTAATCATAGTCATGGTAGCAAGTAATATACAAAAAGAATTAATAGCAATAGTAGCACCCTAAACCCCACTACCCAAGCCATGAAATGTAAACCCCAAAGTCCTAAAAAGCCTTTAAACTCAAGCTGCGGGGCGTTCATCAGCATCTGCTGCTGGCGTTTTGGGGTGCTCAGGTTCCACCGGGGCTGCTGTCGCTCGGGCTGTGGAGGTCTTCGGATTGAGCTAGGTCTTCTAGGGTTTAGGGTTTTGGAGTTTAAGGTTTTGGAGTTTAGACTGAAACCCTAAAGCCCAAATCCTGAGAGGCCCTACATGGGCGAAACTCGCCCCCCCAAGCCTTTCAAACCCCAAAACCCCCAAACTTTGTGACTGTCTGGCGTTCTTGCGGGGTAGGAATTCCACACCTCCTCGACCCTCAACCCCTAAACCATACCTGGACCATAAAGAAGCTACCTTTTTGGGGCTCCTTTTCATGAGTTCCTCATATAAGTCCTCAAAAGGGCAGTAAGTTATGTAGGGTCCATATAAGCCCTATGCTGCGATGCACCTCAAACCAAGGGATGCAGGGCCTGCGGGGGTGGAGGGTTTTTCAAGGCTGCAGGGCCCGAGGGCCTTGATCCATGACCCAAACCCTGAAACCCATAAACCCTATACCCGAATCAACCCCCAAACATCCCTAAACCCTGAAACCCCATAAACAAACCCTAAACCCTATAAACCCTAAAGCCCTAAACATCCCAAAACCCTGAAACCCTATAAACATCTGTAAACCCTAAACCCCAACCCTGAAACCCATAAACCCCACACTCATCCCCTTATATATATATATATATGTGTGTGTGTGTGTGTAGTTCTCCAAAGTATGATCCGTTTTAGGGTCCTTTCTGTAAGGGTGCCGTACTATATTGGGGACCTAAAAGGAACCCTAATTTAGAGAACTACCCATATAGCTCAACCCTGAAACCCCATAAACCCTAAATCCAGACCCTGAAACCCATAAACCCTACACTCATCCCCTTACGAAGCTCCAGATCTTTCAGCGTCGCTGGTGTTTCGCCGCTAAGGCCAGTCGGATCGCCAGCGCCTGGTGCAGAGAATGTAGGGCCTTAATAATTAGAATAGGGCTCCTTTATTATTAATGGTGACCCATGGTCTAAGGTGTCCAGCTTGAGACTATAAACCCCCTAAACCCTAAACCCTAAACCCTACATCCCTAAACCCTAAACCCCCATTCTAAAGGGATCTTCAGGGTGTTAGGCTTCGGGTCGGGCCGGGCTTCCGATCCCTGAACCCTATATACCTTGATGGTTTAGGGTTTAGGGTATTCAGGGCTTTTCGGGTATTCAGGGTATTTAGGGTTTTTAGGGTTTTTAGGGTATTTAAGGTATTTAGGGCTTTAGGGTTGGATCCTCAAGTTTAGGGCTTAAGCAGCGCATCCTCATTCCCAAGAGCTAACTTCTTTAACTGCAAACTCGCTAAATGTGCTTAGGTCCTTTGCTATATCACTTTCGCTATCTCCACTAAAGCATACAATCGGTTCCTAAGTTATGTATCTGGCTAATAAACACGACGCCCGCCGAAGTGTCCTTCTACCCAAGAGCCCAAGAGGCCCGTCTCCGCAAGGCGCACCACTGCGCGCAACTTGGCTGACTCTTTCGACGGCGTGCGAGAATTGAAGCGCATGGCTACGTGCCTGTGCAGCGTTCTGTCCAAGTTGGACGGCGAACCATGTCCACCGGCATGATGCTGGAGACCAACAGTGTTGTGGTGCCACCAACGCCGCCAGTGCGTGCGATGCACGCGGGTGCATCCGAGAAGCTGCAAGGCGTGCCAGGGCGTTATGCGCGTCCAACAGGGCAGCATGCAGCCTTCCGCGCAGCAGCAGGTCCAGGCGACGCCGGCAGCGCGGCCTTCCTCCGCGGATTTCGGAGCTTCGGCAGCCTCGGTCATGTCCAGCATCACGGCTCGGACTCAGATTCTGTGGAGGATTTTGCTCCAATAACTTGGACACGTTGCGGTTGTGCGAAGTCCTCGTCCGACGCGCTGCATGTCCAGACATCCCTATCGGCCGTAGCCATCGCTGTCCACAGCAGCTCAAGTGTGAGCGCTGACGTGAGCTCGGCGTACTTCGTCTGAGCCTCGGGAAAAGGGGAGCAGCCGACAGTCTTCCGGATGTCCGGGTCGGCATTGCCACCGGAAGTCGTGATAAATGCTTGAGCATCGCATCGGAACACCTACCAGCAACGGCCGAATCCCAAAACTCACATCCGACCTTCCGAACCGGCCGCCACAACCAAGAATTCCATCCCCAGTCCTGGAATAGCATAAACTTTTCAGCTACAAGTTTGGGCTCCGATGCACCGAAACCCTAAAGCTATCGACTCAATGCCAGGGAAGCCCGAAAAGTTAAATGCTCGGACTTACTCTTACCCCGCAAACGGGGGTTGTGGCAGCCGAAGCGAAGACCGGACCACCCATCTGGAGATTCCAGGAGCTATTTTCAACACGAATCCCTTAAACCTCAAATCCGTCGGAACCCTTGCAGTGACCCTTACATCACTCTTAAACCAAAGGTAACCCTTTTCAGCAACCTCCTAGCCGTACCCTATAGCATCAGCCCTAAGATGAAGGAGGCCCAAACATCCCGACCGCACCTTCTTCTGCCCAGAGATCCGCCTCCAAATGTCGGACGGCTTCTGATTTTATTTGCTTTGTGGGAGGCGAGGGTTTTGGGGCCCATTATACTATAATTGTTATAAGGAACCCCCAACATAGCATTAATCATATTAGACTGCTGACGTGAACTATAAGCAGGTATGTTGGCCCTAAACCCTAAACCCTAAACCCTAAACCCTAAACCCTAAAGTGCGTGGCTATTTTTTGGGGCCCTGAGCTCTCTGGGGTTCGTGCAGAACATGGGTTTAGGGCTCCTGCAGAACATCTTGCCTTGGAATTTATCGGGTTTAAGGGTTTATAAGGGTTTAGGGGTTATAAGGGTTTAGGGGTTTAGGGTTTAGGGGTTTAGGGTTTAGGGTTTAGGGTTTAGGGTTTAGGGTTTAGGGCTTTGGTGAGTGCAGTGCCAGGAAACTCATTCGGAAGCAACGCAGGAAGCCGCGCCTGTGCTGACGCTGAGAATGGCAACAGCAATCCTACTGGGAAGGAGTGGGCTACGGTTGCAAGTCGTAAAGCATTGTTCTAAGTGCAGAAGCAACCACTAGCAAAAACACAACAAACATCATCAGAAATAATCAGCACGTTGAGTAACATGATGCGTCCTGGGCCTCAACCCTTCTCAGCTCTAAACCCCAAGCAACCCTGAACCCAATTGTCCCAAACCCTAAAGCCCGTAACCCCGCAACCCCAATACCTCGAACACGTCACTGAAAAATATGACAGCCCCGAGCCGACACTGGAAACCCTAAATCGACTGCCACCTCAATTTATCAAACCCGGTGCTCGAAACACCTCGAAACCATCGATGTGGATACTTCTTCAAACCAGGGTCCTGTAATCACTCGTGCAATCTATAGATTAGGGACCCATCAATGCCCAGCAAGGACTCCTAAACCCTAAACCCGAAACCCAAATCAAGAAAACCCTAAGTGCTGGCAAGGCTCAACCCTAAACCCTAAACTCCAAAACCCTATAAACCCTAACCCTACACCCTGAACCCGAAACCCTAAACCCTGTACACCCAAAACCCCAAACCCTAAGCCCTAAATCCAAATCAACACAACCCCCAAGTGCTTGCAAGGCGCTTTAGAAAGCTGCAGGGGCGGGCGAGTTGTGCCCTCCTCTTCAATCTTCGGTGGAGATGGCGACTCATAATCAAAACCCTAAACCCTAAACCCTAAACTCCTAAACCCCTAAACCCCTAAACCCTAAACCCTAAACCCAAAGCCCTAGGGCTTGGGGTGGCGGGTAACTTCAGGGTATGAGGCCCTGGCTTCCGGAGATGTTTTTGAAGATGGCAGAATGAGTGAAGGATATACCCCCCGTCCTTCAGCGTGGGATACCTCTCTGAGGGGTTTAGGGTTTAGGGTTTAGGGTATCTTGTTAAGGGGTTGAACAAATCTAGTCCCTGATGCTTGGAAACCTTTTCTTGCGCATGGGCCCTGACCATAGCATAGGGTATCCGAAATACGAAAACTTAGGGTTTCTCGGCAGAGCTTAATTGAGGCTTCGCGGCTTGCAGTTCAGGGTTTGTGCTCCTGAAGACCGTGCGGGCTTCTCCAAGCCCCAAACCTGGCACTTCAGCATCTAAGGTTTTGCATTTTACTGTATAGGGATTGTGGGCTACGATCTGGCTGTGGGTTTCAAGGTTCAGAACTCTACTACGGGGCCTGAATTAGGAGTTTGGGGCGGTGGTAATTGAAAGCAGTAAGGTACCCTGTCCTCTCCGGACTCCGCCGTTGAAGCCGTGGCAACGCAGGCAGCGCTCGCGGCTGCCAGCGCAGCAAGGGCGGCAGAGAGCCCGCCGTGGTGGTTCCTTGTGGACTGGTGACTGGTCTATCTATAGGCTCTTAATAATTAGACTAGGGTTGGGGGGTATATACTATGACCATAATAAGGAACCCCCAACATAGTATTGGTAATTATTCAGGCTCCTATATAATTTGGGTTGGGGCTCATGATCAGTGACCGCGCCATGACTCTGTCCAGCGAATGCTTAGATGCTGCAACCTGCTGGGTGTCACTGTCTTGCACCCCTTTAGGCCAGACTCCACCGAACAAATGCACCCAAACCCTCAACTGTACTTCCTGTAATGGATCTGGGAATTAGTAAGTGCCTAAAACTAGAGCCCGAAGCAGGATGACTCCAGTGGGGGCCACGAAATTCTCGACTCATAACCTCCTCAGCAGGTGCCTGATCCTTGAGGACTATAAACCCTGCATAGTGCGGGTCCCAGAAAATTAAACCGCAGGGTGAAGGTGAAGGGATTAAACGCTGACCTCCACCTCAGGTTCTGGTTTAGGGCAGTTTAGGGCTGAGGATTTGGGTCATGCAACGAACGTTTCGGGAGTTCAAGAATTGAGAACTTGAGCCCCTAACGCCCGCAAAGGGGTCTCATAGTTGCGGAGACCCACTACAGCGTTGAAGACCTGAAAACTCTAATTCTAATCAACCCTACACACCAAACTCTGAACTTTACAGACCTCTAGACCCTGCACCCTACATGGGGTACTGCTATACATTAGGGTCCCTTTTAAGGTGCTTTTTAAACAGGTGCCGTACTGTTTTGGGGCCCTGAACAGGGACCCTAACTTAGAGAACTACCCACATAAAACCCTCTTAAACCGTATAGTATAGAACCCATACACTACCCTGTGGCCCGCTTCGAAGGAGCCGCTAGAATAAAAATTAGAGTCCCTAGACGCCCTGTAAGCCCTAGCTAGCCCACACACAGACCAAAAGGCCTTGCACTAACTTCCACGAGCCCTGTATATGAGTTAGCACTTCAAACGTCTGCAAGACTTACAAAACTTTCGATGGACCTTCAGTGGGAACCTAAAACCCTGAACCCTTAAACAATACAAGCCGTACGAAGCCCAGTAGCTTGACACCATATATCAAGCCCCAATGACTCTGAAGCAATCCGTGGCTGCCGCGCGTCGCCAGGAGCATGAAAGCTGCAGCCAGCAGAGCCCCGCGCTGGGGCTCCGGGCAGGTGTCGAGACCTGCAAAGTTCCCAGAGAATCCAGGGAGCTTTATAAGGGTTTAGAGTTTAGGGTGCCGTGAAGAAGAGCTCTGGGCTTGAGGCATTTAGGGGTGTAGGGAGGTTTGGGGTGCCATGTGGTGCTGATGAGAGTTTGAAGCTCAGGCGTTCGGAGGGTTGATGCACCTTGCTTAGGGATCGAGTCTGCCCTAACACTGCTTACAGTCCATATCCAGCTCAGGGCTCCCAGCGACAGAAAAGCCCCTTTTTAATTCGGGGTTTAAGGGGATCCTTAGGGTGAGAATCCCTGACCGCAGATCCTAAGACTCTACAACCCCCTCGGTCCGAACTGCAGGGCCTAGGGAATAGAAAACTCAAGCGAGTTCCGCGTGCCGGGCTAGTATACTCTCAGTATACTCTCGAATGCTAAGGTCCTTGAACCCGCTTTGAGAGGTTCAGAGGAAGCAACAGTAAGCTGAGTAGTGTAGGCCCCCATATATTCCGTCAGAAATGGACGATTCTGCGCGGCCTTTGGCGATTGCCGGTACCAGGGCAGCGCAGCCGGCAGCCTCGAAACAGCCGAAAACTTCGATCCCGAACCAAGCTCCTCTGCGGCAAACCCGTGCATCCTAGGTCCTTATTTAGGGGCCTTAATAATTAGAATAGGGTTTTGGGATATATTCTACTATAAATATAATAAGGAGCCCCCAAAATAGTATAGGTAATTGTTAAGGCTCCTATATTAGACGTGAGAGTCTCGACATTGTGGATGGGTGTCCGCTTCCCAGCTGGGCTATTCTACCTACTGGGGAGGGTGCCCTATGCAAAAATGTCTTGTGCCATATACTCTAACATTGCTGCCTGCATCCTATAAAACAATAGGTTATCATGGTATGTATCAAAATTTGTTTTTCTATATTATTATTCTTATTCTTATTATTATTATCATTATTATCATTATTATTATTATTATATATATATATATAGGGCTTAGGCTTAGGCTTCGGATTCCCTCCGCTCTTCATCTGCTTGGTTGGAGCCAGCAGCAGAAAGACGCATCTCCGCTCCCAGCGCTGGAGATCCATCGTCTCCTCTGCGCCACCCAACAAGCCGAAGGTGGTTATAAAGAGTTAGGTCTTAGGGTCTAGGGTTTAGGGTTTAGAGTTTAAGGGTTTGGGGTTTGAGACTTCAAGCGTCTCGGGTTTAGGGTGTCAGGGTTTAGGGCTTCAGGGGTTTAGGGTTTAAGTGCTTTTGGGGTTAAGGGTTTAAGGGTATAGGGTTTAAGGACATCTTCTTGTTTTT